CTACTACAATGTACATACGTAGTGATGTGACTTTGCATTTTTTTTTTTTTTTTTTATTTTTTTAATTCTCTTTTCACAATACATTAGAATATTAGACCACGCCCGCTCCAGATGCTCCAATTGGTGGTGTACAAACAAGATCAAGAGACTTACATCAATTCGCATTAGGAGAGAAGACAAGGCCGCATCGAAGGAATCGAAGCAGCGGTACATAAAATTGAATCATGTAGGAACGTGCACAAGAAAGTTAATCCTTTAGTTTCGCACCAACGAAGTCTTTCTCGTCCTCTTGCCACTTCTTACGTTCCACAACACTTCGGGCCCTGGAAATCACGCATCTAATTAGCTCAAGTCACGGTGACTTTCCTGCGGGGAAAGGTAGGGGGTGTGGAGACAGGTCTGATTGCTAGGCAAGGAATACGAACCGGTAGGCTCTCACAAATCGCCATACTTCCGTGTCTGCCAAGTTCCAGGCTTCTGCCACGTCTTTGATGCCAATCCGATTGGTTTCCTTGCTCTTCAAGACTTCCCTGGCCTGTTTTAAGATGTCGTACTCCTTTGCGACGCCTTGTCGGCTAGGATTGGCATTCTGCACGGACTCCTTGGCATCACCTTCGTTCTTAGAGTCCACATTGTTATCCTCCCGAGGAATCTGGAATCCAAATTGCCATTCAAATTCGTCTAAAAGGTCAGATGGGAGGGGCTGGCCGGCCGCGGGAGGCAACGACTCGACAGTCATCCACAAGGAAGTACCGACCACGGCATCGTCGGCGACGGCCTTTTTGAAAACCACGGCGCGTGACGATCCACCAATATCGACGCCCAACTGTTCCTTGGTGACCTCTGTCAGCCACGAATCACGCTCCGTCTCGCGACGGATGTGGCGGGTGGTAACTTCCGCCGAGTCCTGCTGCAAACTAATAAGAGTGTAGGGATGGGGGAGAGTCCCGATGGTAAACACCCGGGTCGTGTTTCGGTAGGTAGCCGGCTGGCTAACCTGCATCGGCTTTCCTGCATCGCAGGGATGGCACTTCGGCTGGTTTGGAGGACAAGATGATGGCACAGGGGATTTCGGACATTTGACGAGGGCTTTGGCGAGCCGCAAGGCTGGCTCTACCAGAGCAGTAGTATGTTCAGTAAAAGGCTTTAAGACAGCTATGCCGGCAGGGAATGCGTTCTGAAAAGTAGTATGTAAATGTGCATTGATAAGCTCTGCCAACGCAAGTCGGCCCGCTGTCGTTGAAGATTCCTCTGCAAGTGTCGGGTAGTGGGAATGGATAGTAGCAGGGTCATAGAAAGCCAGGGAAGTCGGTGGGGACTCATTTCTGAAGAACTCTGGAGGAACCAGATCCAACATAGAGTTCGAAGTCTCCGAGGCCTTTTTAACTGCTTCCTTGATCGCGTTGTTGATCCGTGTCTTCTCTCCCGCAAACAGCGCGCTGTCAATGCGGTCAAACCGGGTAATCACAGCCGGATCGGTACCGCGTCGCAAAGAAGACAGCAGGTCATCATCGTATCGCGCCATCGGAAAGCAATGCCAATCTGCAAGTAAGCCATCACCCATATGGCCCCAGGCGAGCCAGCGGAATAGCTCATTCTCAACTTTAGGGGTAAGTTTCATGGGTTGCACCAGCGAATAAAGTTCATTATTCATAGCCTCTGCGCGACCCAGAATAACAGGCCGGAACCCTTGCGCAAACCAAGCTCTGCGCCACGCAAGAAGAATCTGAGCATCGGCTTGTTCCGCACCCTTTTCATCATCCCCTTTGGTTGGTTCGTAGTATGTGTATATGAACGGTCGGTGTCGTAGAGGGGGTAGTACGGAGCGGTTCTCGTCGAGGGTTATGGAAGATGAGAACGGGTTGATCCAAGCCCAATTGCTAAACCACTTCGACTCGCCGCTGGTGCTGTTTGGTTGTGGTTCGGGCGGCGTATGAACCGTCGGGCGAAATGAAGGTAGATGAAGATCGCTCAACGAAGGCAGCTTGGGTCGGGGTACATATCTGGCTGGGCCAGTGACTTCTTCAGATGAAGAGTCTGGGCTCGGCGAGGCTGAGAATATCACCAAAAGAAGGGCGACAAAAACGATTATTGTGAGAAGCGCAGTGCTCCTGTGAGGAATCATCGTGACAAGAGATGTATGTACTTTGGAGATTGGACAAAAGGTTTAATGATGCAGGGTACAGCGGATAGGAGGCAGATAGGTTAAGCCTCCACCCGCCTCGAATGTACCTGTTAGCAGTTCAGGGATAGTCGAGAAGTCGAGATATCGGAAGTAATAAAAGCTAATCGCATTTGCGGGTTCGAACAACAATAAGTTAAAGGATTATCTAGTCATTTCAAGTGAGTGTACAACAAGGGGTGGTCCTGTCAACTTTAGGGGGGAAAAAAAACGAATGGGCAGTTCAAGCAACTGTCGGCATTGAGTAGGTTGCACTGGGCGTAATTTGAACGAGAAAAAATCACTGACGGTACCTTGGATTTCGTGGTCGTAATATGGAGACCGCAGGTACCTCCTATTGCTGGACGGACTAGGAAAGGTGCAAAGCAATGCATTTGGTATGCGCACAGCCACTCTTGATGCCTGCATGCCTCACCATTCTGGAGTCGATCCAACCGAAGCCGGCCTAGTCTGCGGTGGGCGGTAAGTGATGATGATGTGATGTGAGTGTGGGGTTCCAGAAGCTTGGCCACTATGACTGGCTGCGAAATCGGCACTTTTTCTCTTAGTGCCCCTCCACAATTGACTGAGTCACAATATAATATCGTCCATATTTCCCCAACCTACACTGCAGTTTGACATTCAGAGGGCATTGTCACTGCAATCATGGGCGTTGAAACAGCCTCTTTACAGGATCGCCTTGAGCGATGGGCTCAAAGGTTACAAAACTTGACTGTTAGTCCTCTTACTCGGGATTACCCCGACAACCAGAACCAGGAGCTTCCCAAGAGAGCCATTGAAGCATTTGAAACCTTCAAGCTCCCAGAAGACACGGACGGAAAATTGCAGAAGCTTTCCGGCTCATCCTCTGGTTTTACCATTTTTTGGCAGCCTTTGTTGTGCTTGTTGCTCGTCTTACCGGCGATGAGGACATTGCCATCGGTACCACTTCGGCCGAAGACGGCCGTCCATTCGTCCTGAGGGTCCCAATTGACGCCTCGGAGACTTTCCTTCAATTGTACGCCAAGGTTCAGAAGGTATGGTTACAGCTGGTATATCTATAATTGACTCTTCCTAACTAGTATTCTAGGCATTCGACCAAGGGTCCTCCGACATTGTTCCTTTGGGTAGTTTACGATCCTACATCCAGCAGAAGTCCCAGTCCGAGCGATCCCCAATTCTTTTCCGCTTTGCAGCCTACGATGCACCCGCCGCGTCTCAGGAATACCCTGCCAATACATTCGAGACTACGGACCTAGTCGTGAATGTTGCGCCTGCAGCAGGCGGGTCAACATCTCAAGCGGAACTGGGAGCATACTATAACCAAAGACTCTTCTCAAGCGCTAGGATATCCACTATATTGAAGCAGCTGGGAAAGATCGTTGAAAATGCGACCAACAACCCAGAAGAGGCAATTGGCCGCCTTGACTTCATGACCGATGATCAGCGGGCACTTCTGCCAGACCCCACAGCTGACCTGCATTGGTCCAAGTTCCGGGGTGCAATTCATGATATCTTTGCTCAGAACGCTGAGAAACACCCAGAAAAGCTGTGTGTGGTCGAAACCAAGTCCGATCGTTCTCCCCACCGCGAATTCACATACAGGCAAATCAACGAGGCCTCCAACATTCTGGCACATCACTTGGTCCAATCAGGCATTGAGAGAGGCGAAGTCGTCATGGTGTACGCTTACCGTGGTGTCGATCTTGTGGTGGCGGTTATGGGTATCCTTAAAGCCGGTGCAACTTTCTCCGTCATCGACCCCGCGTATCCACCAGAGAGACAGTGCATCTACCTTGATGTCGCTCGTCCTCGGGCACTCATAAATATTGAGAAGGCCACTAAGGACGCTGGCGAGCTTTCCGACAAAGTTCGCTCCTTCATCAATGAAAACCTTGAGCTTCGCACAGAAGTCCCTGCGCTCGCACTTCGCGACGACGGTTCGCTCATTGGAGGATCAATCAATGGCCAAGATGTTCTAACCAACCAGGTACCTTTGGGATCTAAGCCTGTCGGTGTGGTGGTTGGTCCAGACTCGATCCCTACTTTGTCCTTCACCTCTGGATCTGAGGGAAGGCCTAAGGGTGTGAGAGGACGTCATTTCTCCTTGGCATACTATTTCGACTGGATGTCCGAAACGTTCAAGCTGACCCCCAATGACCGTTTCACGATGCTCAGCGGTATTGCCCATGACCCCATTCAGAGAGACATCTTTACTCCTCTTTTCCTGGGAGCACAGTTGTTAGTACCGGCACGTGAAGACATCCAGAATGAGCGGCTTGCGGAGTGGATGCGGGAATACGGTGCTAGTGTAACCCATCTTACACCCGCCATGGGTCAGATTCTGGTCGGTGGTGCTTCCGCACAGTTCCCAGCTCTTCACCACGCTTTCTTCGTCGGTGATATCTTGATCAAGAGAGATTGCCGATCTCTGCAAGGACTGGCCCCGAATGTCAACATTGTAAACATGTATGGTACAACCGAAACCCAGCGTGCGGTTAGTTATTATGAAATTCCTAGCTACTCCAGCAACGAAGGGTTCCTGGACACTATGAAGGATGTAATTCCAGCCGGTCGGGGAATGGTTGATGTGCAGATGCTGGTTGTCAACCGCTTTGACCCAAGCCGTATTTGCGCCATCGGAGAAGTGGGCGAAATCTATGTTCGCGCTGCTGGTTTGGCAGAAGGCTACTTGGGCTCCCCCGAGTTGAACGAGAAGAAGTTCCTCAAGAACTGGTTTGTTGATCCTCAATCTTGGGCTCAGAAGGATCAAGCCCAAGCGCAAGGTGGCAATGAGCCATGGAGGCAATTCTATGTTGGACCAAGAGACCGCCTGTACCGCAGTGGAGACCTTGGTAGATACACTCCTTCCGGTGATGTTGAATGTTCCGGCCGCGCGGATGACCAAGTGAAGATTCGTGGTTTCCGTATCGAGCTTGGTGAGATTGATACGCATCTCTCACGCCACCCATTGGTGAGAGAGAATGTTACTTTGGTGAGGCGAGACAAGTTCGAGGAGCCAACTCTGGTCAGTTACTTTGTGCCGGATATGAGCAAGTGGGCTTCGTGGCTGCAAGAAAAGGGCCTTGAAGACGACACCTCCGCTGAAGGAATGGTTGGTATGCTCGTGCGATTCAGGCCCCTTCGTGATGATGCTCGAGAGCTTCTGCGTAGCAGCTACCGACATACGCTGTACCAACAGTGCTCATCCCGCTCAAGCGGATGCCTCTTAACCCTAATGGAAAGATCGATAAGCCTGCATTGCCGTTCCCAGATACTGCGGAGCTCAGTGCTGCTGCACCTCAACGCAAGTCGTCTGTCCTGGAGGCCCTGTCCGAGACAGAGCAAGCTTTGGCTCAGATTTGGGCACAGCGCATTCCAAATGTCACCTCTTCCATGGTTGGCCCTGACGATTCATTCTTTGACCTTGGAGGACACAGTATTCTGGCACAGCAGATGTTCTTTGATCTTCGGCGTAAGTGGCGTGGCGTTGACATTAGCATGAACGCAATCTTCCGCAGCCCCACCCTTAGAGGGTTCGCTGCCGAGATCGACCGCTTGTTGAATTTTGAATCATTCGCCGCCAGTGACAATAAGACAGGTGCCGAAGACCAAGATACCTCCAGTGCACCTGATGACGAATACTCCAAGGACGCTCGGAAGCTGGTAGACGTTCTGCCGAAGGCATTCCCTGAGAGGACAGAGCCTATTCTCTCTGGAGAACCGACCATCTTCCTTACGGGCGGTACTGGATTCCTGGGCGCGCATATTCTTCGCGACCTCCTCACCCGTAAGACACCCACGGCAAAGGTGGTGGCTTTGGTTCGAGGAAAGACCGAGCAGCAAGCACTGGAGCGTATCCGGTCCACCTGTCGAGCATACGGTTTCTGGGATGAGGCGTGGACCAGCCGGCTGCAGTGTGTCTGCGGTAACTTAGGAGACCCTCAATTCGGCCTCTCTCAAGCGCTGTGGGATGATCTTACGAACCGTGTCGACGCGGTGATCCACAACGGAGCCCTTGTCCACTGGGTGTATCCTTATTCTACTCTCAAGCCTGCCAACGTTATGGGTACTATCGACGCCCTGAAGCTTTGCGCCACTGGAAAGCCTAAACAGTTCTCCTTTGTAAGCTCTACCAGCGTGCTTGACAGTGATCACTATGTCGAAGAGTCTGAACGTATTGTTGCGGCCGGAGGAGCTGGTATCAGCGAGGAGGATGATCTGGAGGGTAGCAGCGTAGGCCTTGGAACCGGTTACGGCCAGAGCAAATGGGCAGGAGAGTACCTTGTCCGAGAGGCGGGTAAGAGAGGCTTAAAGGGAACCATTATCCGTCCTGGATACGTGCTCGGTGACTCTCAGACCGGAAGTAAGTATTTCAAGTCCTTCACACTATCGTTTAGTCTCAATATGCTGACCACGTATCTCACCAGCCACGAACACCGATGACTTCCTTATCCGTATGATCAAGGGATGTATTCAACTTTCTGCTCGCCCCAACATCAACAACACGGTCAATATGGTTCCCGTCGATCATGTTGCCCGCGTTGTCATCGCTGGTGCCCTCCAGCCTCCATGCACGCCCATTGGTGTCGCGCAGGTGACTGGCCACCCCCGTCTTCGATTCAACCAATTCCTGGGAGCACTGCAGCTGTACGGCTACAACGTGCCCCAGGTCGACTACGTCCCGTGGGCACAGTCGCTTGAGCAATATGTCAACGACGGACAGCACGACGACCCAGCGTCCCAGCATGCACTGTAAGTTCAATGTCAACCGCGCCGCAAGGTTCTTAGATGAAATGCTAATGGTTGGCTTTAGTATGCCCCTCTATCACTTTGTGACCGCTGATCTCCCATCCAATACCAAGGCCCCTGAACTCGACGATGTTCATGCCGCTGCCTCCCTTCGTGCAGATGCCGCCTGGTCCGGCGTCGATGCCTCCGCTGGGGCCGGCGTGACCGAGGAGTTGGTCGGTCTGTACGCGGCCTACCTAGTTACGATCGGGTTCTTGCCTTCGCCGCCTGCGTCCTCGACCGCTCGGCCGTTACCCACGGTCCAACTCAGCGACGACCAGAAGCAGGCCTTGGCCAATGTTGGTGGCCGTGGAGGCAGCTCATGATTCTATTGAGACGTAGCGCCTTTTTCTGTTTCAACGATGCATGTTTTCGTTTTCCTTTTAATGTCTTATTTTCGGGTGATAAAAGCTACGGATGCGGGATTTGTAGAAAGCACAATGTATATATAGAAACGAAACGAATAGGGGGTGGGGACAAATATGACATCGATTGATGTGTTCAATTCAATTCAATTCAATCCAGTTGGCTGCTTTGTATTACCCGATCTGTTCAGGTCACACCCCACATCGTTGATCCACGTGGGAAAATGCCTCAGGGGACAAAGGAAATGTTCCTGTCGGGTGCGAGATTTAACCCCCAAGAGGTGGTGGGAGAGATCTAACTATGGGCAAAGCGAGATAAATCACTCGTGCCATCACGCAACGTCGAGAGATACCGCATGAAAGGGGTGGCATTGGATCTGCCCACAGGCTGGAGCTTTGCCGTATTTCCCGATCTGTGCCGTTCACCGGGACTTTATAAAGTCGCCCTGCTTTTGCGTTCCTTTTCCGCGGCGCCAAGACAGAACAACATTCTTCTTCCCCCAACAAGATAAGAGATCCTTCTTCTTCGTCTTCTTCTCGAACGACTCTGTTCTTTAACATCCTCTGCTTCGACATCCGTTGTAAACCCTTTTTCGAAATCACGTTCCACTAACGTTGTCTTGAAGCACCATGCCAGGTATGTTCACAGGTCACCTTCCTTTTCGTTTTCCTTCTTGGCATTCTCGGATATCGTCGCTGTACGACGGGGCCCTCTTTTTCTGCCATTTCTCCCTGCCCTCCCTTCGTCTTCTGTATCCTTTCTCTGGCGGGGTATCTTCATTTTCTCATTTTGTCGATAAATCTTGACTGGAGCGCATCGTTGCAAAGAACGGCTGAGGACTGGTGGTGACTGGACTCTGCTTGCTGGCCGCATTTTTCTTTTTTCGTTTTCTTTTTCCTTTTTTTTTTTTTGCCCCAACCCCTTCCCCGTCCCGTTGGGTCCGTTGAGTCATTGGCTGCCGGGCCCATTTTGACGCCTTGTTTTTCCATCCTGCAACCACCTACCTGTAACATATTTGCCATCATGATGAATCTCGCAAGGCTGGTACCGCGGTCTCAATCATTGTTTCGTCCCCTAGCGGCGGTGAGGGATTTTCAAGGCTGCACTGGAAGCCTCCATCTTCCCTTGATCCGAGCCCGTACCGAGCCCGTTATCGGCCAATCTCAACGTCTTTCCCTCTCAACCTCTGCATCATTATCGTGCGACAAACACGATATGTCGCAAGCGGAGACTAATTATTCTCCAGACCGATTCACCACCGCGTTGCAGGCAAACAAGGAGTGGGCTGCGAGAACTGCCCTGGAGCATCCGGACCTGTTCCCCACGCTTGCCAATGGCCAGTCGCCCGAAATTCTCTGGATCGGTTGCTCCGATTCTCGATGCCCGGAGACGGTCGTTCTAGGCCTAAAGCCTGGCGATGTCTTTGTCCATCGGAATATCGCCAATATCTTGCATGCCGGCGATCTCAGCTCGGGTGCAGTCATCGAATATGCCGTCCGTCATCTGCGGGTCAACCACATCGTGCTCTCCGGCCACACCAAGTGTGGTGGTATCGCAGCAGCCCTTGGTAACAAGCAACTCGGTATCCTCGATCCCTGGCTGTTGCCTCTGCGCCAGATTCGTGAACAGAACCTTGCGCTGTTGCAGACCATGTCACCGGAGGATGCGACCGTCAAGATGGCGGAGCTTACGTCCGGGAGGGTGTCAAGCTTTTGAAGTCGAAGGGTGTAGTGCTTGAAGCGATGCACGAGCGGGGTCTCCAGGTTCACGGGCTCATCTATGATGTCGCCTGTGGTATGCTCCGGGATATAGACACCAAGGACTCGGAGGAAGAGATCAAGAGGCGACTGGTGGCCTTCAAGACGGAGGCTTAGGGGAGGAACTCGGCGATAGGTCGTCTGTCATTTCTTTCGATTTTTGTTTTCTTGTATTGTTTCTATTCAGCGATTGTCCGGGTGTATTTGAGGTGTTTTTGGGACGGGCATTCCTGTGGCTGTCTGGGCGATCTTAGCATTGTCTCAGTGACCATGCTGTAAATACACCAACACAGAGAATCTCATAGATGTCAAATTCGAAGCAGTCGTTTTTCAGATTCAATCAGAGCAAATTAGAATGAGAGAGGGAGAGATACACGTAGGAATCAGGTAAGTCTGGAGAGAGGTGGAATGAGGCGTCAAGTTGACCGTGGTATGTATTTTGGGGGGGAGAAAAGGGAAATCGAGGAAAAGAGGGAGCAGAGGAACGAGGGAAAGAGTCAGTCCGTCGTAGCCTCGTTTCACGGCCACAATTCCAGCGGTTTGAGCGATTTCATTGCCTAATGGGGGAGCCAAGGGAACCTGGCGGATCCGCTTTGCGTCCCAATCCGGTATGGTCCCGGCCGAAGCGGAGATGCGTCGGTTGATGCCTGATTATCTGGTCATCAATACGTGTATGCACGTGCGTATGTACATTCGTATGTACAATTGTCAAGCGTCAGTCTTCAATGCTCGCGGATTCTGTAGATGTCTCCATGGTTCTTCTACATCGATCCGTGTCAAGCACTCTCTTTTCAACCGAGTGTGCCTGAATCAGCGTACGGATCTCGGGAAGTTAGAGAGCGCCAACCGGTCCTCGGGTGGAAGGTCTTTTCCAGGGTACGATCAGCCTAATAATTAATGACTTCGGCTACTTAACCAGTCTAATCTCGAGCCATGCGCGCCATCAGTTAGCTTTCCCCGATAAGTGGCTAACTGGCTTCGCTCAAGTCGCAGCCACAGTATACTACCGTCAAAGTTCTTGCCCCGGTGGTACCTTCACAGATACAATGGGATGGGGCGTATTTCATTTCATGATGATAAATATCAGTTTCTATCTGTCAGTGGCCTTAATCCAGTCACTGCTGACGGTCTACATACCTCGGAGAAGAGCTGACATAGTTGTCTATTCGAAGACTGAGACTGGATGGATGCTCGTGTGATGTCCCGCGTGCAGGTACAGACACTCGCAGTTTAGTCTAGCGTAGTCCCTCTAATTGCCCCCGTGCTCGTGGCGAACAACTAAAGTCGTCGAGGACTTCTAGCATGCACCGTTCGTGGCTATGCTCCTATCCCCTACTAACCCCGACAGTACGATATCCGTACTAATCCCTCAAAAAATGTCTCTTTCAAGGAGTGCCAATTGTCCCACCGGAAAACCACTCTTCAGAGTATCGAACCTTGTCATGTCCGATGCCCTCCTAGCAAGCATTCAAACTCCTACCGTACTAGTGGCCCCGATAGGTGCTCTTTCTCAGTCAGCTTACTTTAGACATCCTGACTGAATCTCGATTGGTTCCCCTTTTCACGGACCTAGCGAGGCCTTTTATATTTCGTTGCTTAGCGTGTGTGCTTATATCGAAGCAAGGTAGAACTACTGAAAGCCCCTCTACATGGCTATTGAGACATGGTCTAGATAAGAGCCGAGATGGGCGTGGCAGCTCGAAGCTATATACTTGGTATTTATACGAAGCCACCTAATACCGTATGCAGTATCACCTTGAGAGGTTCGAGTTGTCCACATTCAAGAGAGGGGGGGATCTCCAGCTCTATGGCATAGTATAACTGTTGTTATACACCAATGTGTATATTGATCAAGCCCCGGGAGCCCCACGTAACCCCTCGTCAAGAAACTCCAGGTCAACAAAACCACCCATCAACAAGCTTCTCATAACGAGGAAAGCAATAGCAACGATGCCGACAACACCCCCCGAACTCAGGGAAGCCACCCAGGCAAACGACCGAACATTACCGTGGGGGTGACAGGTGTAATCGGTTATCCGTCGGCTTTCGCAGTCTATCGCTTCATACATTCGGCAGATGGAAAAGAGTGGAGCTGGCACAGCATCATTTATGCCGGGAAACCACAGCAGTGCCATTCTTTCTATCCCCCATATCTTGAAGTCATTCTATCATTCGCGATAGCTTTATCTTTTCCCTCCCTAGTGTCCTATTTTTTTTGTATTCCTTCGGGGAAATCTGAATCGTTGCACATTAGTGAAAGGTGTGTAAAAAAAAGAAAAGCTCCTTGAATGAAAGAAAGTGACAGGCGGTGGATCCCTACAGTGACGTGTGACGTGATGATTCCCGCCCGCTTTGTTTCGCATAGTTGGAAGAGAAGCGCATGGTGACTGACAATTGACTATCGCAGACAGTATCTAGAAAACAGAGCATCATGGCCAGCGAAATGGAATACACCCGGTACGTCCACAGCAGCTAGACAAGTTATACATCTCAACCCCGTTTAACCAAGAATGAGTCACCAGACTCGGAACTTCCGGACTCAAGATCTCCAAGGTCATCCTCGGTGCCATGTCCTATGGCACTAAGGAATGGCAGGACTGGGTGCTGGACGAGAATGAGGCCCTTCCCTTGATCGAGCATGCATACAAGCGTGGAATCAACACCTGGGACACGGTGCGTTAAAACTCCACCCCAATCACATAACGCATTCTGCATGGCCAGAAAAAAAAAGAAAAAAGGAAAAGAAAAGAAACAGAAAAAGGAAAAAGCAAAGCAATTGTCACACTAACCCATGAATTCCTTCGATTGAAAAAACAGGCTGATGTCTACTCTCACGGTCGGTCCGAAGAAATCATTGGAAAGGCCCTGACCAAGTACAACATCCCGCGCAACCGCGTGGTCATCCTGACCAAGTGCTATTTTGGGGTAGACGATGGAGGCAAGCAACCTCCTATCTCCGCCGCAGGCCGGAACGACGGTGACTGGGTCAACCGTGTTGGACTGTCCCGGAAGCACATCTTCGATGCGGTGGACGCCAGCGTGAGCAGACTGGGCACCTACATTGACGTGTTGCAGATCCACCGTCTGGACCGGGACACGCCCCGTGAGGAGATCATGAGGGCGCTCAACGATGTGATCGAGAGCGGGAAGGTCAGATACATTGGGGCTAGTACTGTATGTATTTTTTTTTACGACTTGTTCTTTGACTCATTGGGTTTCGATTACGCTATGCTAACGGCCCCCAGATGGCCGCGTGGGAGTTCCAAACGCTCCAAAACATCGCGGAACGGAACGGATGGCACAAGTTCATCTCCATGCAGAACTACCATAACCTCTTGGCTCGGGAAGAGGAGCGCGAGATGATCCCTTACTGTGTTGACTCCGGGGTGGGTCTGATCCCCTGGTCTCCTATGGCGCGTGGTGTGCTGGCACGGCCGTGGAATTCTCGCTCGACGACCCGTGAGTCGACCGATGCCGCGCTCAATCTCCTTGTCCGGAGCCGAGAGTCCGAGGCCGACAAGGCGATCGTTGACCGAGTGGAGGAGCTTGCCAAGAAGAAAGGTGTCAGCATGGCGCAGGTGTCCATTGCTTGGTCTTTGAGTCACCCCAATGAAAATCCCATCTTGGGGTTGAACAGCAAAGAGCGCATTGATGAAGCTGTTGCTAGTGTCAAGGTCAAGCTGACCGATGAGGAGATCAAGTATTTGGAGGAACCATATATTCCTAAGGCTTTGTCTGCTCTTGAGCGGTAAACTTGGGGGGGAAAAACGAGAGAGGGAAGAAAAAGTAAGACAAAGAAAAGAAAAAAGCACATTGTGCAGGGTATATTTGTTCATAATTCATATCAGGATGTATCCAAGTCAATGATAAACCCAGCTACATCACTGCGTGCGTTAAATGCGTGAGTATTCGATACTCTTAGGTACATGCAATCCGAAGACAAAAGGAGATTCTAATAATAGGCCTTATATCTCAAGTGTATTTACCACTGATTGTTGATCTTTCTATTTACAAATCCTGTTCGGTCGAGAACGAAGGGCACAGCCACTCCTGGTCATCAAGAGATCACGGCGCTGTGAAGAGGTGAGAGTATTGCGTAAAGACAGTAAGCACGGAGACCGTATGCAAATTGATTTTTGGGCTATCCCCAGAATCCCATCATAGCACCTGGCCACCGGGAGTGAAAAGATGTACAAAAGGGAACCCCAAGGGGGACCCCGCTTCACCTCGGCTAGAGGGAGCGTAGAATCGAATTAGGTGTCACGCAACCGTATGAGACCTGGTTCACCAAGCCATCAGAGAAGCACCGGGCTTCATTAGTGGTGCTTTCGAGTCAGGAAGTCAAAAATATTGCTCAGCCGGCGTCGACATCTCCTCGTGGAGCTGCTTCGGCCCAGCTGTTTAGCTTTTAGATCGGATGGTTCAAGCTGGTGTAGTGGATAGCTATCGTTACCTCGCGAGCTATCCAATGGCGGATCCGGGGCTGCTGGCTGTGTTGTGGAACTTCGATTACTTTGTTCCACTGGGCTGTTCCCGTTCTGGTCCAGTTCGCGAGGACTTGAACGCAAACTATGTCTTTTGGGTCGGCCAACGGTTCCAGAAGCACGCCGGTTGTTTCGCTCCATGAAAGCTGCGCCTGTTGAATTCGAGCGCTTGGTCAGACTACCGTACGCGATGGACCGGTCTGACAGCGCGTTAGGTTGTGAGCTATTTGGCACCGATGCGCGGTTCCTCGAGCCATTCGATACCAGCCTTTCCGAACGGTTATCCCTTCCAGCGGGTATCGGATCATTCTCGGTTCTAACTGCCGATGGAGATGGCTGTCGAGATGGGGAAAGTGCTGCGTTGAAAGTCACAGCTGAGTCATCATAAGTGAAATTATGCGACCAGCCTTCTCGGAAGGCCACCCAAATACTGGTGATAATGATCAACGTCCGGAGATTATCGTCCGTCTCAATGACCTTCTTGTCTAAGGAGGCGTCCAGTTCAGAATCATCGCTGATCACAGACATCGTAGACGTCGGCGACAGAGGATGTCCGGATGCCGTGGGCATCGCGTACTCATCAAATATCTCCAGGTGATTACGAGCCATAGTCGCGATGACGGGATGACGACGGGTGTTGGGGTTGATGACGCTAAAAGTAAATCGTTTCGTGTCCGCCTGGGGCGTAGTTCCAGGGGGTGCGGAGATGCGGCGATTCCGTGCTCCGCGAAGTACCCATCGCAGGATCTGAATCCCATCTTCGGTGTTGGCCACAAACTCGTAGGATCCATTGGGAAGAGGTGTCGCTTCCCACACCGGCCCGTAGTTAAGACAAATCTCCGCCTTCCCTTTTGACAACGCATCCTCCTTGAGAAGTTGGCAAATTGTTGCGACGACTTCACGATGTTCACTGTGTTCCTCGTCCGAGCTGAGATACTTCTCAGCAATATCCCCCCCGGACCGTTCATAAAGATCGCTGGTCACGATGATCAAATCATTGGGACCCAATCCCTTCTTGCCTCGAAAAATCGTGGGGAATTTGCGCGATAATCTAGGTAAAAATACGGTCGACGGTAATACATCCAGGACAGGTAGAGGGCGTGGGGTTTGTGATACTCGCTGTAGCTGCAGAAGAAGCTTGGGTCGGAGCCTCAATCGCTTATGACGTGCATGGGACGCGGGGTGAGCTAATTGGTAGATTGTCTTAGGCCGCGACGATTGTTTCCTAAATGTCTGCGGGCGGGTGTTCCGGGATTGACTGAGAACTGTCCCTGCCATTGAGTACTCTCCATCGCTCGAAACCACCGACGCCACCGGGCTCGCAGACATTGCCCGCGGAGGCCCCTTATGGGGTCGCTCTGTCTCTGAGCCCTTATATCGGCCGTAAAAACTCCCCAAGCCCATGGTTGGCAATGTCGCAAATGAAACCGTTGGCGGGGAGGAATGACGATTTAAACCCCCCGAAAGTTGCGACTCCGGTTGAGGGCCAGCGTCGTTCTCGTGGGCCGCTGCTGCATGTGCTGTCAGGCCCAAATTAAACAGCATTATTAATTCATGAAATGCGAAACCCTCTCTGACCGTCCATCAAGGCAAGCATTGACAGATCGACAAACCACGGTGGACCGAAACCCAGTGATATCACACAGCGATCGTAGCGCTTCACGCTGATCACTTGTTCACAAGCTCTATACGTGGTGGGGGATGAACACACGAAGGTTGTGTCAGTTAGTAAATAAAGGAAAAGAGGGTGGAAGGAGAGGATCGGTGAGAATTCAGGCGTGACCTGCACAGCAATTGTTCTGGAGAATTGGTAGGAGACAGGCGAGGCTGAAGAGGAAGGAATAGGAGATGCCCGCGGCAGTCAGATGGGGCACGACTTGTATTGTTGTACAATGGAAAGTAGGTATCGTAATGTGCAACGCAACTGTCGGAACGGGAGAATATGCAAGGGAGGGACGTGTAAGTAGGGGCAGAATGTTTAAATTGTATGAACTGTTGTAGTTGGAACAATGCGGGTGACCAAAGCCTTAATACTCAGGTATGTGGACTGTATGTAACAAAGAGAACGAGTGGATGCAGTTAAAATGAAGGGTTTAAAAAAAAAAAAGAAAAGAAATTTCAAGAAAGATCGGGTTGCATGTCAGATGGATGGGGTCAATATAGCGGTCAAGTAATACGATCAATCAAATCAGAAAATCGAGGGGATTATGAAAGCAGGGCACGAAAAAGAAGAGGAAAAGAAAAATTCAATAAATCAAATCAAAGGCACTGAGTCAGTGGTCCACTTCCTCAAAAATCGTAGCGTTAAGAGATGAGAAATAATCTCATAATCATCATCATCAAATATTCACACACCTCGGTGGTAGTTCCATGGAAGCTCCGCAGAGCTGTTGTTCTTTGCAGATATGTACTCCGAGTATCGTCAGTAGGACTAGTAGAGTATCGAATAGTAATGACTACTAAAACCCGACGAATGCCAGATTTGCATGAAAACAAGTCCCCACCTAGCGGAACTTACCTTTGAGGGGGCGATCCATGGAAATTTCGCCTTAAGGACGCCGAGATGGCAACTGATTCGCAGTCATGCCCTAAACCAGTCTAGACGGCGATCTTCGGGACTAGACAACGCCCGAGGCTCCAGTACCGCTAGTACCGTATTACTGGATGATTGATCATCTTCCAAGTTCCGGGAACGCCGTCGTACTGGTTGTTCCGTAACTTTCGGTACTCCCACTCTCCGTCGTCAACCATCCAATTATGCTTTTCTAATTTTTGTGCTTCTCTTTCCCTTACGAACCATCTCTGGAGTTGTCCACCAAGTTCCAGGTGCCAAGTTTGAAAAAAGCGTTACCCTATAAGGCACGAGGACAATTGACCCCTCAAAGAACCTTTTTCATTACTAGTAGTTGTACTACGGAGTCGAACCCCGACCATCTGTCTCACACATCTTCTCTCTCGGACATCAGTCATGACTTATATTACCGCTTACTAACCCTATACTAGTAACTATCTACCGAACTCCTACTAGTACTACTAGGAGTACTCCCGCCTTCCGTACCCCGAACACCAAACAACAACAATGTATAGTAGTGCAAACGGAGGTCCGAGCCTCCGACTTGCCGGTTAATGTATCTGTCCATGGATAAGGATCTTGGCCTGGGCCAGGCAACCCATATCCAGAAACTAATTACTCAGAGCTCCAATAACTGGTGAAGGTAAATACTGGGTATTTTTCCCTCCCATCCATCAGCCATTGATCCTCTGAAAACTCTACCCCTGTACGAGATTGATAATGCTTTGGGACCTTCTTCCTTCCGTAGTTCATGATTCTATACTTAGAGTCAAAGGGCACTTCCAAACCACGGGTTCTTCTTGGCCAAAGTTACCTAGAGGTACTGTGAGCCTTGGCATTATTACGGTACATTCTACAGTAACAGTAGTACTGTAGACAGAAAAAGAGGGCCCATAGTTATCTGGATGGAAACACCACCCCACCAGAGGGTGGTGCGCCCATTTTTTCTGTCTCTTTCTCCCCCCTCTCTCCTTGCATAGGATGATTATTTCAGCCGAAGAATAATCAGAGCGGTTATCATAAGCATAAATTATCTGTCACCATGTGACAGCCCTACGGTTATGGTGCAGAATATACTCCACAAGGCGGTAGGGATTATATGCAAACATAGGATCATATAGTGATCATCATAAGATGCTATCGTCACCGACACGAAATTGTCTAGGCCCATCTGAGGGGTTTAAATTGGAAAATACCAAGACTTGACAGCGACATCAGACATCGCTATAAGTTTCCTATAGTGTGTACAATAGTACATGTACAGTACATACACACTGCGACTGTGTAGTGATTGTGGAGTGCCACATCCCGAGCGCGTGACCCAAGACGGGGCCTGCAACGTCGCCTCCTAGATTCAGGGAAATTAATTTTGTTCTTGATGGGACTAGTAGTAGATTGGAGTTGCGTGTGTTCAAGACTCCATCCCGCTAAAGAGAAATCTCTGATCGGTTTCATTTGGCAATATATTACTTACTCTTTCCACTAGTCCTCGGAATCGGACCCGTCATCCTCGGACTCGGAGTCGTAATCAAGCCGGAGGGAATATTCAATATAGATCTCCAAGAGCTATGATGCAACTTAAAATAGAGCGCTATTTGTTGATCACCTAGGGGTTTGTGAAGGATGATCCTATTATTATCAGTACCAAATATTTCCTCTCTACCATAAGCTAGTTTCCATAAAAAGAAGAAAACTCAAAGAAAATAAAAGAAGAGAATGAAAGGAAGGTAGATGCTAATCTTCCGTGGTGCTGGACTGAGTAGATTCCGGATCCGTCAGTGGACTGGGCTTTTCGTAGGGCTGAATCGACCGCGGGTTGATACCAAGGCCCAAGGTAGGGTTAGTGACATGTTAATCCGCTTTCCAGAATTCTCGCTGGGATGGACATCCACCCTTTGGTGGGTAAAAGTTACACCTCGGATGTTCATGGCATAATATTGTAGCCTAGTATATGCCATGGGTAAGGTAAAGGTAGTGATACTTGTTCAGGTGGCCATTCTTCCAGCTCAGTCATGAGTTCCAAAGATCCATGATGACATCGACACATCCGTTTTAGATACTTCCCTCTAAGCCTTCAGCCCATCAGATTTAAGCACGATCCGTCATTGTGGCGACTGCAAGGATTTCAACTAGTTTAATTAGTGTCGTTAATCTGTTACGTTAACCGTCCAAGTTAACTATGCATCGGAATGCTGAATAAGGCATCGCTTAAGTTATGCTACCGAAAAATCCGAATACTAGTACCCACTTGCCGTTCCGACTTCCAACATCATCAGTTAAACTGCGTGACTGGGGACCAGTTCAGCAAGTGCCTCGGTCAGTGATAGCGCTTCTTATCATTATTAATATTTTTTTAACGGTTTTGCGTCGGTGGACCCTTGGTTTTGGAGTCCCAAAAACCCCTCATAGATATCCATCCATGGCATGAGGTGGAAGAAACGGATCTAACCTAATCCTAGACTACCTCAATATCTGGCAAATCCCCTAGGGATCTTGTAAGAGATGGCTGCCGGGCTGGCCTTAGCCCGCCCACGACTCTTGAATCCCGACAATCCCATCAGGAGTCTATCACTAGCGTTCTGGTTATGGAAGGCTCTTCTGTTTCTGGTTATCATTGGTTGCCCGGGGCCTGGTTATGATACTTCCACAGGGCTGCTTCCTTACCAGGAGTCCGCCGCTTCTGATGCCAGAGGGGAAGTCATTAGGCATGCGCCCTTCTCGTTTCCTCTAAAGCTTGTCAGATGGGATTCAATATACTTTGTGCATATTGTGCGGGATGGCTATGTCTTCGAACAAGAATGGGCATTTGGCTATGGTTACACTAGAATCCTCTCCTTTCTAACATCTGGTACATACGTTTCTTCATGCCCTGGGGTAAACGGCTGCTAATAGTAGGCAAAGTTCTTCCTCAGCTCAGTGGCCTGGACGGTGTTGCTAAAATCGCACTGGTTGCAAGTGCCGTCTCTCATATTGCCCATTACGTTTCGATATTGGCCATATACGGACTATCCGTCAATATCTTTGGCCATGGCACCACCTCAGGAAGGTTAATTAGCCTTCTTGCTGCTACCTTACACATTATATGCCCTGCTGGGGCATTCCTCTCTGCGCCCTACGGAGAATCATTATTCTCCTTTCTCAACATTACTGGGTATTATCTATATTCATGCTCCCTGCTTGATGCCAACACTGGTAAGCGGGCGTCCAGCAATGCGAAAATGTTGCTCGCGGCTGCGTTGTTCTCAATAGCTACAGCAGTCCGCAGCAATGGGATCCTTAGCGGAGCCTTATTTGCATACGACGCGCTGCTACAGTTGCGTAAGATTATCTCCCAAGGTATATCCGGGGGCAGTGTGCTTCGCCTGGGTGTCATTGTGGTCGGTGGCTGTGTAGTAGCCTTGGGGCTCATTGTACCACAGTGGATTGCGTACACAGCATTCTGCATGTCTGACGAACCTTTGCGACCGTGGTGTGGGCAGCTCATACCTAGCATTTATGGCTGGGTTCAGGTTCATTATTGGTCAGTGGCTAACACACCATGATCTAGGAGCAATCAATTACTGACACTCTCTGCAGGAATGTAGGGTTCCTACGGTACTGGACATTTTCCAACCTGCCTCTTTTTATCCTGGCTTTTCCCATGTTGTTCTTGTTGTGTCGCTCCTCTCTCTGGGCGTTAAATATAACATGGCCATCAGATACAACAACTCCAGTACTGACACGGCTTGCGGTGCCCAATGGCCTACTTGCGTGATGGCTTTTACTAGCTATCACGTTCAGATCATCAATCGGATATCCTCTGGATACCCTCTCTGGTATTGGTACCTTATAT